TTTTAGTGTTAGGGTTTATCTTGCACGAGTTGCATCAAATTAGGATTGTCAAAATCGGGGCGGGTCACGGGTCGGGTTCGGGTCTCTTATTCTTTAAAGTTTTAACCAATAAGGCATGTTTTATCTCATCTTCATTCTTCAACATACGATTTCAATAGTTTAAACATCAAGTTGTATCTCAAATATAAATATTGAATATCGATATCAAGTTGAAAGTCAAACTTCATGAATTTGAGTACTTTTTTAGTGTTAGGGTTTATCAGCTTGCACGAGTTGCATCAAATTAGGGTTGTCAAAATCGGGGCGGGTCATGGGTCGGATTCAGGTCCAACCCGAAATTGACCCGCACTGTTCAACCCGACCCGAACCCGACACGTTTTTGCAAACGGGTCAATTTTCCAAACTCGAACCCGACCCGCTTCGGGTGTATTTCATTAAATTTTTTTATTTAATTCTTATTTAATTTTAAATCAAATTAAGGCAAGATTTACTTCAATTAGTTTAAAATAAATCAAAATTAATTTAATTTTGACAACATTGTTTATAATTTTTTAAAATATCATTTACTTATTTCATAAAAATCCTTTAAAACTCTCTTAAATTAATTAAAAAACGGGTCAAATCGGGTTGATTTCGGGTTTCCGGGTCAACCCGAACCCGACTCAATTTTACAAACAGGTCGAAATCTCTAACCCGAACCCGAAATTTTCGGGTCGGGTTTTCGGGTCGGGTCAAATGTTGACAGCTCTACATCAAATTTTGATAGTGAATACCTCCCCATCAAAGATAAAATTGAAGTTTCAATATGGGAATAACTCGCGAGCAGGTAGCATCCAACTAGAGATCATGATTTGTGCCATGTCCAGTGGAAGGTTGGCTTTGGGTTGCAAGGGCAACAATTTGCTGAAATAGCCCAATGAGATGGCAATGGCAACTCGGGAATGAAATTATCTAGAATTTAGGATTTATAAAATTTCTTGGAGACTCTCTATTTATCCTTTAGTTTAAAAAAAGAGGGATTTATATACATACTATTGTATTTCATGCTATTTACATATTTAATAGCTAAAACTTTTATATTATAGGCCGATCACCCATATAATAAATATGAGTGCATTGAATGAAATATTAAAGTTTATAGGATGGTATGGGTGATAAGAATAAAATATATGAATGATATATTTGATATTAAAATTTTATAAAGTGATATGATGTAATATTAAAGTTTTGAATGTTACATATGTAAATAGCATGAAATAAAATTGTATGTATGTAAATCCCCCTAAAAAATGTATGAGAAAGCATGAAGTCGTTCATCTCAATAAGTAAAACTACTTCCCCTCATCTAGCCTTTGTCTTTTTTTTTTTTTAATCTCAATAAAGAAAAAAACCATGAACAGCTGTTGGTTTTGACTGATTTCAAGAGGCAAACGATTTATTACAATGGTCATTCATCCTAACCATTTGATTTGTAGAAAAGGGAGGCAAGAAAACATACCTTAATGTGTTGTTATTGCTTGTATAAGAAAGAAACTCCAAAAATAGCTGATATTCTTTCAATCTCAAGAGAAAGAAACCAACCCTAGCTTATGATTCTAAGAGGAGACCCAACCCAAGCCTTCAATCTACAGAAAAGAAATGCCCAAGGTGCCTTCGATCCTCCGAGAAGAGATGCCTCAGCTGCAGCCTGCTAGAGAACCGAACCCGACTGAATGATGCAAAGAAAAAGTGACGGGCACGAACAATTGAGCAAGGCATTAGGATAAACAAATTATTTAGGGGGGGGGGGGGGGGGCAAAGTTCTAAATATACCCTTTTTATAGGCAATTTCTTTTACTCTGGGCTGACTTAGGATCTGGCCATGAACTTGTGGAAGATTGAGAGAGAGAGAGAGAGAGAGAGAGGAAGTCTCATGCTAATTTTCTTGCTCATAATTTAAGCTTATGATAATCATTACCTTATTTGATTATCCCACTCTTAATTAAAGATGTTGAAGGAATTTTTTTCATAAAAGAAATTTTTTTATTTTTTCATGTTAAATGGGGATATTTGGTTAGTGCAACATAGGTACATTGAGTTTAATAAAAGAACAAGTAATTATACTATTGATATATCATCAAAAAATAATCCTGATTAGGCACAAATCTCGAGGAAAAATCAAGTTGGAAACTTCCAAAATTAAAAATGGGATCATCCGAACTCAGATTTCATCAAACTTATAGTCGAACTGAACGTCTTCAAAATACGAACCCAATGACACCAAATTCGACTCAATCCGAGCCAAAATGGGTCCAAAATCAAAACCAGAAGCACTGTTAGAAGGTTCGAACCATAATTTGGATTACCAAACAGTTTCTAAGCGTGACATGCTTATAGACGAATCGAGCTGCTCGATGAGATAAATCCATCGAGCCCAAGATCACTAAATTATGATATCACTAAAACATTAAAATCCCCAACAAATGATCCATGATCAAGGGATTCAACATCGACTGTCCATCCAAATCACTCCCCATTTATCCCTGATCTTCCTCCTATTTTACGGGCCATGCCACTCTAGGAAATATATAAAAAGACCCCTCATTCCTCTTAAAAGGGGCCCCAAGCAAGAGATAAAGAGAGAGATCGGAGATCGCTCTTGCCTCCTTGCTCCTCCTCGGCCACAGTCGGAGTTCTGCCGGACCACCACCTAACACCAATAAACCGCCAGACCACCACCTAAAGCCGTGTTATGCAGGACCACCACTAGATGCCGAAGTTCTTTAAACCACCACCAAACGCTAGAGTTCCGCTAGATCACCACCAGAAGCCGGAGTTCCGTCGGATCACCACCTGATGCTGGTATTCCACCGGACCCCATTTGATGCCTGAAGTTCTGTCAGGCCACCACCTGATGCCCTGAGTTCTACTGGGCCACCACGTGATACTGGTGTTCTGTCGGCTCAGCACCTGACGCTCGGAGTTCCTCCGGAATACCACCTGAAGCCGGAGTTCTACCAGATCACCACCTAGCGCCCGATGTTATATCGGTCCATCACCTGATGCCCGGAGTTCCGCCGGACCAACACCTAATGCCGAAGTTCCGCTGGACCGCCACCTGACGCTAATATTATGTCAAACCACTCCCAACTCACCATTGATTTCTCTCATATTTACTATCCATGACACTCTTAGAAAAATATAAATAAATCCCTCATTCTTTATGGAAGGGGGAACCCAAGCGAGGAAAAGATATAAACTAAACTTATCTTGCCACCATATACCTTCTCGACCACCGTCAGACAATCGACCATCGCCGAACTATCATCGGGCTTCTGCACGACCACTGACTGATGCCGTATGAAACTCTTAAACATCGAGATGCCTTTAAGTAAAAGAAGCTAAACTCTTAAACATCGAGATGCCTTTTGGTATAATGGTTGTAATTTCATTAAAAACTATGTAGTTAAACGTGCTCATCCTGGAGTAATTTTAGGATGAGTGACCTATTGGAAAGTTACACTAATATGAGAAAACTGTAAGGCTTTTAGGCCAAAGCAGACAATATCTCAATAGTTAAGAGTTTGTGATATTACATGTCATACCTCTGCCCTGTCACTAACTGACGTCAGACTTCTGCCAAGCCATCTACTATGTTCTTTTCAACCTCCATTGCCATACAATTGTCCTTCTGACATCTGTCATCAGACTACAGACTTTTCACCCTTCGTTACACGTCGACTACATCCGACCTCCATCACCAAATAATGTTATTTCTAACAACTGTTGCCCTACGACTATGATCCTTTTGACCTTTATTGTTAGACAATGATTTTTCTAACCATTATCTCCTGCCGATTATTATCCTTTTGACATCCATCGTCAAACAAACGGTCTTTCTGACCACTGTCACCTGCTTACGATCTTTTCGACCATTGTCTCCAGACAATGATCCTTCAGACCTCTGTCGTATAAAAACGATCTTTCTAACCACTGTCGTCCATCGATTACGGCTCTTCTGACCTCCATTGTTAGACAACGGACTTTTCTGACTATTGTTGCTTATCGACTATGATTCTTCCGACCTTCGTCGTCAGACAACGATCTTTCTGATCATTGTCGCATGTCGACTTTAGTCATTTTGACACATGTCATCAAATTATGGTACTCCCGACTTCCGTCGGTCGTCGCCAAACAACAGTCTTCTAACCTCCGTTGCTTATCGATGACGGTCCTTCTGACATATGTCGCTAGATTACGGTCTTTTTGACCTTTGTAACATGCCAGCTATGGTCCTTCTGACTTCCGTAGCTAGATAACGATCCTCTTGACCTCCATCGCCCACCGACTACGATCCTCCCTATCACTGTCACCCGACTACGATCTTTTCGACTTTCATCCTTTCGTCCCCCACCGACTATGATCCTGCCAACTAAACGAACATGTCAACACTAATTCTTCCAATTCCCACAATGTAATGCAGCTTATGTGGTGTATATTTACTACATCAAACTAATGACTTCCCTTAAAGAAGGGCCACATTTATAATTAACTGCAAACACTAGTTGATTCATTCAAACGGAGTCAAGCTCTATGATTTTTTCTCATTTTCATTAATTTTTACATAAAAACTCTGATGTCTCTTATGAACGCTACACCATCTGTTTTATTTGAATGTGATGTATCTTCATACAAAATAAGACGTTAAATATTATATTTCTCTTTCTCCGTGAATATTTTGGGACGCAACAATATTTAAATAAATTCAATTTTTTAAATATTTATTATTTATTATGATTATTTTTTAATCAGAATATTATGATATAAAATATTTTTCGAAAAAACAGAAAATTGCACGCCCAAATTGATTTGACGTACGCGCACTCAAGGACGGCAAATGGCATTATTCTGTTCCATAGCGATATGGATCCCATGCAATATATGCGTGGCGTCGCTGTCTCTTTTCAATATTATATAAAAAACAACAACCTTTTCATAATTAATATCTCCACGTATGCGAAACCCGGCCGCCTCCTTCTCATCGCCGCTCCGAACCCTCTCCCTACTCCCAAAATGCCCCCATCCCTTCCAAACTTCTCCCTGTCTACTCGCCTCCTCCTTCTAGCGCTCATCATCGTCTTCCTCGTCACATTCCACCTTCACCGCTCCCCTAAACCCTCTTCCCTAAATACCCTTATCCCTCATCACTTAGGCGGCACCGGCGGTGGTGGGGCCACGGCCGACCCATGCCGACTTTTCCTCTCTTTCTCCGCCACCGCGAACTCATCCATCTCCTCACACCTACGCGCCCTCACCCGCGAGCCCCACCTCGCCGGAACCCCCTCCGCCGCCGCTGCCGCTGACTATGTCCGCACTCACCTCGAGCTCGCTGGCCTGGAATCCCTAACTCGAAACTACTCCGTCCTCCTTTCTTACCCAGCAGCAGCCTCACTTTCCCTTCTCCTCAACGGAACCCTAGTTAAGACTCTCTCCCTGGCCGAGCCGGCCGATCCCACTGCCCGCGCAGTCGCACCCTACCACAGCTACTCCCCCTCCGGCGCTGCGGTTGCGCTTGTGGTATATGCGAACCTCGGCCGTGACGAGGATTATCTTGTGCTCGATCGCCTTTCCGTTGACGTCCGTGGATGTGTGGTGCTGGTGCGGAGGGGCGGCGGGCCTAGAGGAACTATTGTGGAAGCAGCGGCGGCGAGGGGAGCTGTGGTCGTGCTCATGTTTGGGAACGGTGTTGGCGGAGGAGTCGAGAGGGGCACCGTCCTCCTGGGCGGCCCCGGTGATCCACTTACTCCTGGCTGGGCTGCCAACGCATCCGCAGAGAGGTTTAGGTTTGCGGATGCGGAGGTGAGGAAAAGGTTTCCGAAGATACCATCAATGCCTGTGTCGACTGTTACTGCAGTGGAGATTCTGGGGGCAATCGGTGGCCCACCGGCTCCCCTGGAGTGGAAGGCTGAGATGTCGGCGGTGGTGGGCGTTGGTGGGGGGTCCACGATGGTCAACTTCACTTATCAGGTAAATTTATTCTCTGGCTAAAGGTATGATTTTTGCCGTCCATTTTTTGATACCAATTCCGTAGGTTAGGTGAGCCCCAAAGATGTGGATGGGAGGGAATAAAAACGTTTAGGGTAGTTCTGAAAATGATTGGGGAGCTGCTTCTTTGGCGTGTTCTCCTGTCGTAGTAAAGAAAGAGTTTTTACATAAGTGAAACAAACATTAATGGCTTTCTGGAAAGTGCTACATCTCTGGACCAGTATGGCTTACTTGGCATGAGATATGATAATTGGGTTGAGCATTATATGCCTATCTTTATGATTTGATCCTCATTGTTTCGTAGGGTCAGTCCTGGTGCCGTTTGTGGCCTAAATTTTGGTGGAGTGGCCCGGGTGGGCCAAATATGTTAGTGAAAGCTTTTATGGAGCCTTGGACAGACACATTCCATCTGCATGTATTCCAAATTTAGTAAAGATATTTTGCATTCCACGTGCTGTTGTTCCTCATAGAATGGGCTGGTTTTGCAACTTTTATCAATGATAGTTTGGCATAATTGACAACTTTTTGGTTGTATTATGCTGATGTATATATATAAGAACATAAAAATCAATGACAGATTGAACTGAATGATTTCATCCATGTGTTTACTTATTATTTTTCATTGCAAATATATGTTTGAATCTTCCATTAGATTATTATGCACAGTATTAATGAGTTTCAGTATATGTTAAGTGTCATCATGGCAGATTATCTTTAGGGATCCAAAAACTCTTATCGTTAAAATCACTATTTGATATTTAGGCTTCACTACGATTACAAAACCAATGATGAAGAGTTTCAATAAACTGCTTGAAGAGTTGCATGAAGCTTCAATAGTCAAGCTTTTGGAGGCCTAGGAGCCATCCATGTTTGTGATCGTGGCCTTTACTAAGTTTAGTTGTGTTTCGACTTTCGATATTAGTTTTCTTGTTTTCTTAATCAGTAAACGTTAGTCAAGTAGAAGAGCTTCATTACTATTACTATTGTACAACAACAACAACAACATCAAGCCTTTGTCCCACTACGTTGGGTCGGCTATTTGAATTCTTTTTCGCCATTGTATCCTGTTAAAAGTCATGACATAGGCACCTTATTCCTCTAAATCAGAATAATCCAATGTCAAATTTAACTTAAATTGAACCATGACCGACAAAATGCAAAACCATATGAAATAACTCAATGCTTAAGTAGTTTATGTCATCTGTTAAAATTCACCATTGACATATTTTTAATTGCAAAAGTAATAAATAATAAAAAAAATAAACAAACCGAGGAAATGAAAATAATTGTGTTTAGATCATTGCTTGATATGATGCTTTTGGTGACAATAAACTTGAAGATTTCAATCAAATCATCTGACTTGGACAAATTTAGCTACCATGAATTTAGCATTTGATATTCATCCAATGAATTGATAGTAAATCATGAAATAAAGTTAAATCAAACAAATAAAAAATTAGATTTATACCAAAATAAATTAAAATTTCAATTTGTAGGTATGAGCTTTATTGTTTTGTAAAATTTTAAATGACTCTTCCTTGTATACTATTTATTAAATATTCCTAATGGAAGCTTTTTTAAATTTGAACACATTGACTTCATCATTGAGCTTAAATTTTGCGAACTTCCAATCACATCAATTAAAAATTTATATTTGTTGTGAATATCTCTATGCAAATCATGTATATATTGCATGAATTATTGTGCAAATGTATTAGAACTAGACTTTACGCGAAGGCCGACATGATCTATAGCCTATAAGCTTTCTTGTTTGATACAATCTCAAATGGATTCGTGCTAGTAAACATATCGACAGAGAAATTATATGCAAAGTAAGACATAAGTAATATCAAATCCTACCCAGATGCATGTTAAACAACATAGTAAACTTATAAGCTTTTGTTTGCTACTTAGTTTGTGGAAAATAAAAAATTGAAAATTTTAAGTTATGTTCACAACTTCACATTTTTTTTAAAGAATTTTTTAGAAACAACTCATGAATTTTACACCTCAATCTTAAATAATTATTTTAGGCAAGTCATGTAATTTAACCACTTTATTAAAATATAATTTATCAGTGCAAATCAATAATTTTATGACATGATATAAAATGTGCCATTAAAAAAAAAAAAATGATATACGAATAGTATAAATAGGATCATACTTTTTTAGTGTTTTTTGTCCACATATTACAAAGTTTATTCGGACATCATCACAGACTTACATGAAATTGATAGAGGTGTATACAATCATACATTTTGTTTTCTACCTTTAACGGACTAAGACATCCTTACCGTGAAGTAATATGTGTTGCATCATTTTTTAGGGTCAACTAATAATAACTATCCCCAATCATTATTATTTTCTTTTCTCTACTAAAATGTCTAGTAGTAACTCTAATAAATAAGATATTTTATTAAAAAATCAAGTATAGAAGGATGTGGATCTTAAATTAATAAAAGTGATATACTTTTTTTTATATGATCAACCAGCCACCGTAGCTTCCAATAGTATGTAGAAGGAAAAAAATCATACTCAAAAGTATTAACAACTTTATTCTTATATCCAGCATAATATTTAAAAAAGAGCATTCCCATAAAAACTCAATCCACTTAGAATGTCTAGGGCCCAACTTCTTTTGGAACTTAAATATTTTAATATTTAACGGTTGGATTATTAAAAAAACTCTAAAGTAATAAATAATATATCCAATAATGAAGAGCTGGTACAATGATATATAACTCCCTATCATAATTCGAATATTTATGTATATTTTTATTCAATTTATTGCTAAAAAATGCAATGAGATGTCTTCCTGGCTTAACACTACTTAATGTTAACACCATACGCGTTAAAAAAAAAAAAACCCTTAAAAACGTTATGAAAATCAAGCAACATAAGTACATATTTTTTCATCCCTTTTCGATTACAATAAAAAGCATGGTTTGTTCATATAAATTTGTCCTTCTTTAGGATATTAATAAATAGAGTCATGGCAATATTAAACTCTATAATGAATAGTCTATAAAATGTAGCTAAGCCATAAAACCCCCAATATTTTATATATTATTAGGTTTTAAACAATATTTAATCACTTTAACTTTATTAAAATCAACATATAATCCATTTATAAACATAATAAATCTTAAGAAAATCACACATGGAGTTAGAAAATGACATTTATTTGAAGTTAGATATGCTTTCTTAAGAAAATCACAAATAAAGTTATAAAATGACATTTATTTACAGTTAGATATACTTTTTTAGCGTGTAAAACCTCAAACACTCTTCTAAGATGCACCGAATGATAATCTTGTATCTTGTTGTAGATTAAAATATAATCAAAATCAACAACACAACTTTTCAATAGAATGCTTAATAATATGATTCATCATACTCATAAAAGTGTTATATGCATTGTTAGATAAAAAACATAATCAACCCTTCATATAATCTCTTTTTAGTCTTTTTTTTTGTTCATCACCTTGCCTTATTGTAACTTGATGATGGCCATTTCTCAAATCAATCTTAGAAGATATCACTACATCATTCATCTTATCTAGCATATCATCCAAATGACACATATAAAATTATTATTAAATCATGTTTTTATTGATAGCTCTACTATGTACATATATAATAACTATCACATTTGTTAGAGTTAAGCAAAGCAAGTGCATCACAAGGGCTCTTTTTTTACTAATAAACATCTTCTTGCTCAATTCATAAACTTGGTTTTTAAGTTTGCCATGTTTTGTTGGATTCATTCTATAAATTAGACAATGATAATCCATATACCATGTCAATAACATGCATTTTTGATAATTGTGATAATTTTTAAGGAAGTTTATAAGGACAAATATTTTCAAAATCAATCAGTACTTAACATCATCATACAAGGTCATAACCTTGGGAACAACATACTCAGCTCAATAAGTATTAAGGTATAGATCACACCCTCTTGTTTATTCTCTTTCTCGAATGCATTTACACTTCAAACTTGCAAAGATTTTTCGCTTATGTTTTGATTTGTATGTTTCAAAGCTACTCTTCTCCTATTAACCTTAAAACCTGTCTTAGATGGTTAGACCAGAGGTGTTAATTCAGGTTTATAGGTTGGATTTGGGTGCAACTAAAAAATGACCCTACTTGAATATAGTCAACCCGTACCTAACTCATTCATTAAACTTGTCAAAAATCTCAACCAAATCTAACTTGATCAAAGCCAACTGACCTTGCCTAATGCAATTACCCGATTTTGACACAACTTGAAAAACTAACAATTTAATAAGTTATTTATAAAAAATAATCAAATATTTAAGTCATTATTTTTGAGCCGGCTAAACCTGGCCCGACAAAACTAAAACCAATTTTTTTTCTAGTCATTTTACTGTTGCGAATCCAAAATCTTACATAGGTTGATCAAAACTTAAATTTTTTGTATTGTATTTCATTTTCAATTTTGACAATCATACTTTAAACCTCTCAATGATAAATCATAAAGGTGCTGTTTGGTTGGATTACATAAGGGTGAAAAGTATTCTAAATGCAGGGGTTTTGAAAACTTTGGTGTTTGGTTGGATGAAAAAGGAATGCAAAATAAAATAAAGTAAATATAATGTAAATTATTCTAGTTCATCTTTTAGGTAAACCAAACTCACCCAATTTTAAGTGAGAACAGTTTACACCGCAAGCAAGCTCGCTTGACTACTGCCAACCGCCGCCAACGATCACCACCGGCCATAACCACCATCACTTGGCCACCACTGTCGGCACCCACCGGTTGTGAGACGCCCTGAGACTTAAAGGAGGATTTTGATCCTACTTTCCTACACTTCCAAGATTTCTATTTTTTCCCCCAAATGAACATACACAAAGCTAGCTAGTCATCAGTAATATATAAAATAAACATTCAGAGTACTCAAACCATAGTTTCTATTCCCAAAATAATTAATTGCAATAGTCTAGATTACAATACTTCCTATAAAACTTAATTAAATCTGAACGACAAAATTCTAAATCCTTGCTAAAGCCTGGCCTTCTTGCTCTCTATCTAACTGGACCTATTGAGCAACACTTTTACCTTTTATTGAAATATCATAAACAACGGAATGATCGAATGAGTATAAATTCAATATGCCAACAATAATACCCCATAATATAATGCAATTCATAACAAAATATAATTGAAACAAAATCTTAAAAGTATTTTTTAAATTTTAAATTCTAATTATACTAATGCACATATGAGTGCAAAATGCATGTGTACTTATGCCCCTTATAACTCTCAATCTTTCCTATCCCACTTATTCAAGATAGGTGCATAGCGGGATTACCTCTCACCTGTTTAAGACAGGTGCAGAGCAGAACCATAATAGAATAAAACCTCCAATACAGAGCCAGAATAGAATAATCCAGTACATAACATTTTCACCTTGGGCCCAAACAAATAATTTTAGAGTGACTTTTTTTTCAATTCAGAAACTCCATTATGTCATAAAATGCATGATGATGCAAATGCAACATGCAATTATTTTTTTTTAAAAGTAAATAACATCATATACCGACTTATATAAAAACCCTCACATTTCAATTGCCAACTCAAATTGCTCAGAAATTTATCAAATTTTTATTTTTTAGAATAAATAAAAATTAAAACAGAATAAACCGGCTTGGTGAAATTTTGCATTTTTACAGACAAATTATTCAGAACAGAGAGTAAAAAATATATTAAAAGTTACATAGTGAAACTGTGAAACCTTTTTAAAAGTTAAAACTTAAGAAAAACACTTATAAAAGTATATCTTTCATTATATACTTTAGAATTGAAATCATAAATAGGGTATGGGTTGGCTACTTAGAGCCCGACAATTTTCCTAACTGGCCGAACGAACGGTAACCGGATTTCGGACTCCAAATCTTAGCTTTTTTCCTTCTCTTTCCTTCCTCTCCTCTCCTTTCTTTCTCGATAAGCTGTTGGGCATTTGGGATCGAGTTAGTAGAATGAGATATTTATTATTTTAAAAATACTAATTCAGCCTAACATCACGATGCTACAACTTCTGACGCCACAACGTCATCAACAAAACTCTCAAACTCTCTCAAACTTCCTAGATTTCATTTCTAGCACCACTGCAATGCCACAAAGCCGCAGCACTTCCCTCAAAATCTACTTTTTCACTAGGGATATCGCCTTCAACTGATTCTGATTTATACATGGTTATTGTATGAATATACAACTGGGAAAATGGTTAGATATATCAAGTCATTTTTGTGGTGTTAATCTATAGAAAAATCTTCGTCATACATGTTGATTCAAGTGTCTTCAACACAAGTTAAACCAATGGATTCTGAAGTTATAGCCATTTGTCATCTGGTTGTGCTATCTATTAGATATATTTGGTTGCTTTACCCTTACTAAATAGTTACAAGATATGGGTTTTACATAAGATTCTGATATACATTTATGATTAGTAATGTCTATAGTTAACTTGGATGACAATCATACTGCTATCCAGCTGATATTTTTAAATGATTTAAAATACCAAAGGCATTTTAAAACCGACCACCTATATCTTTTTCCCTAATTGCTTGCACTAATGTTTTTGGGCCTGATGTTTGATTTGGTTTTGCACTGCGCTTTACATGTGAAGTAATTTATCCTATGGTAGAGTAGTTGGTGATATGGTCTTCTTGTGATTTTATAGTCTTAACGTTCAACTGAATTGTGCTTACTGAAACAAATTTTCGTCATTCTACTGGTTTTGAAAGTTTTAATCTTTAAAGGGGATTTCCACCTATTTATGATGCTGTTACTCTTAAGGAAGACAGGAAATTGGCAGAGATCCAAAATATCATTACGATTATAAAGGGGTGTGAGGAGCCTGACCGTTATGTTATTCTCGGAAACCATAGAGATGCATGGACATATGGTGCCGTGGACCCTAACAGTGGAACGGCTGTTCTCCTTGATGTTGCCAGTCGTTTTGGTGCTCTGCTACGGTCGGGATGGAGGCCTAAGAGAACTATTATCCTATGTAGTTGGGATGCAGAGGAGTTTGGAATGGTGAGAAACTGAAGCACATTATTTTAAGTACGTATGTGTAGAATAGTTGCTAAACCTTTTCTGAGTTATTTTTTGATAGTCTTATAATGTGATAATGTATTGGTACTATCACCATTTCTATGTTTGTAATTTGGGCTATGGAACTTATCAAGTAAGCAAGTCTCAGTTGTGGCCATTAATTGTGGTTGTTAATTTGCTTTATGGTCTTTTTTTTTTTAAATTAACAAGCAAGTCTCAGTTATGGTCTTTTTATGCTGATAGAGTGCGCCAAACCATCAAGAAAAATAAATCAGGCTATGAAGTTGATGAAGTGATTCTGAGCCTCAGTTGTGTCCAAGAATTTTGCTTGTTAATTAATTTTATGCTCTCTTTTAATTACTTATTAAATAATCATTATCATCACTTAGAAAAATTTAGGCTTCATTTGGAACGGCCTTTTTATTGTTTCTTGAAGGAGCTTTTTAGTACAAAAATGGGAATTCGGAACTTGATGTGGATTATTCTGTAAGATTATATTCTAGGTAGCTTTGTCTTTTTTTCTAAATAGCTATTAGCTTGCATTGTTCTTGGATGTATCTCATGCATTATACTTTTTAAGGAACTGTGGTAAATTATTGATTGTAATCATTAGTTACTGATACTCCAATTTCTGAAGCACAGATTTTATGGTTGGAATAATGAGTTTCTTTGCTTCATTACCGTTTATTCCTTTTTGAGTATTGCATTTATCATTGATTACAGATTTTAGCTAAATGTTAATAAACTTCCAGTCATGTTAAATATGGCTTATTCTTTTTTCCTTGCGAGCCCTTTCACTTCACCAACTCAGCCCTCTTCAAAACCCTTATGGACATTGCCAAAGTGAATACTGTAATACATTCATATTTGTTTTTGGAATTGCAAAGTTATGGTTTATTTACCTTTATTATCGCAGCTTCATGTAAATTTTATTGTGCATGTACATACGAATATATGTATATTAGGGTGTGGGATTCTCTTTTTCCACATCCTTCGCAATCAAAGTTCCTGCAGAAGGTTGCACCACAATAATTTTCATTCAAGTTTGTAATCATGTTATGGTGGCTGTGCTTTCAGATTGGATCTACTGAGTGGGTGGAGCAGAACCTGGAAAATTTAGGTTCGAAGGCAGTAGTCTATCTAAATTTGGATTGTGCAGTTCAAGGTCCTGGCTTCTTTCCTGGTGCATCCCCCCAACTGGACAAGCTTTTGATTGAAATCATGAAACAGGCATGAAACGATTTTGGTTACTTTTGCTAGCCTTTACTTGCTTTATCATTGAGAAAATCTTATTTTCAAATTTATGCAGATTTTGGCTTCGTTTGGGATGGCTTTCTTACTGCTCCTTAAAGCAGCTTTCTAGTTCAAAAATTAAACTAGTTCAAAATTTTTAATTTTTGAACTAGAAAGTTGCTTTAAGAAGCAACAAAAAAGCTGTCTCAAATGAAGCCTTCATTATAGACTTGCTGCTCAGAAAAATGAAAGCAGAGCCTACTATTTTGATATAGTAATTCTCACATGAGTTATTGTAACTTTTTATGAATTCTGTGCTGGTTTACTTATTCAGGTGACCGACCCAGACTCTGAAGGCATCACTGTATATCACACTTGGGTAGCGAAAAATGGTGGAGTAAATAAGGTATTAATACATATTAATCTTTTTGAATTTTTACTTATGAGTGGTTTGTTGCTGGGCACAACATTACGAAGATGTGTGCGTATTAATTTTGCAATAAATCATGATAAAATATCAGTCATGCTGTACCAGTTGGTATGCTTAGGCTTAATTTCAATATTTTTGAATTTATTAGGAATTTAGTTTAATTAATTTATTTAATTTATTTTTATATGAATTTTTATTATTAGGTTAGTATTTACTATTTAGCTTAAATAGTTTTTTATATGAAATTAAATATTTGATATTTTCTTTTGTACTTGCAACATGTTTATATAAGTAAGAGATGCATGACTTGTAAATGAATATAATAAAAAATATTTCATCTACTCATTCTTATGACTGTATTCTCTCTCCTCCTTTGAGCCATCTCTCATAACTCCTGACTTCCCCTTTTCACTATCCTTGCCTATATTATTTATTATCAGAGTCAAACTTTCCCCCTCTGTTCAATTTGATCTCTAATACAAATACAATCTTGTTTTTGTTCCATTGTTGATCTTTTTCTCATTTTTCTCATGCATTACTAGAATGGCCGTCCTATGCTTTTAAATAACATGACTTAGACTTAAATGTAAGACTCTAAAAAAGTAAATTACATTAACATTAAATCCACTTAATAGTTACAACACTAAATACATGAAAATACACAAAAACATTAGACTAAATGAATAACTATTTCTTCATTTACTTTTGCTCTTATTCTTAATCTTCATAGCTTAAGCTTTATGGCTCTTACCCTTGCCCTAATGACAGAAACACGCATATGTGCTACATCATTCTACTATAGTTGCACTTGATTTTGTCGCTACAAATCTCCTTATGTGGTCGTCTCCTTCCTACTATGATGCCTTGTTCGTTCTGGACGTCAACACCCAATAATGTCTCTATCAAACTCCATGATTCCTCCCGAGTTAAGTGCATCCATCCTGAGCGAATGCTATAGCTAAGTTTTCTCCCTTTACACCGCACCATTGTTCCTCATGACTTCGTGATCATCGTCATTTCAAAAGCATACAATAACAGAATATTTTGACTTTATTAGTTTGATTATTTTGATGTTTTGCTTCATGTTTTCCACCACTTGTAATCAAAAGAGGATAGAAAGAATTCCTTACTCTGAGGAAAATTTTCTTTTGGAATATATCAAAAGCGAAAGGAAATAACAAAGGCTGGGAAAGAACATGACTTATAATATGCCAATCATCAATCCTTGTAGAACAAGAATGGTAATATGTTCCCTTTAGATTAAGGGTTCATTTGGATAGCTTTCTTATTGCTTTATAAATTAACTTTTTAGCATAAAATATTTTTTTGAATTTGAAAATTTTATACTAGAAAGTTGTTTTAGAAAACAGTAAGAAAGCTGTCTCAAACAAAACCTAAGTTTGTTATCTACTTTTTCTATTAGGTTTAGGTTTACTTTTAATACTTTTGAATTTATCAGGATTTTAGATTTTGTTTATTTTTATTAGTTAAATTAGCCTTCTTAATAATTTCAAGCTTGAATTTGAACTACCAGGATAATATTTAAAGTTAGCTCAGTAGGTAACTGGTTAAAATACAACCATTAGTCCCTATTTATAGACATGGTTACACAGATATAGATCAATCAAACTGAATTTAAATATAATCCTTAATGATTCAAAATTCAAATAAGATGTTTTCGAATCAGAATTTGAAATTTAATTTCAATTGAAACGAAGTTCAAAAATCCTAATAAAATAAAATACTTGAAATAAATTCTGAACCTAATTTCTTGTGCTGGGTTAGTGGGTGTTTTCGTCACCAGAGCAGACAGCATATTATTGTGGGAAAGGCAGAATGTACTTGAGATGTTTTTTTAGAAAGTATTTATGCTTGATTATCGTTCATATGGTATTTTATATCTTGTTGGTCTGCATCTTATTTCTGGTTGTGATACTTACATTTTTTTTTTAAATTTCTGCTTTAGATTGAGAGACTTTCCAGAGCTGATTCAGATTTCACTGCATTCCTGCATCATGCTGGAGTTCCTGCTACGGATATTTATTTCGGAGAAGGTATTCCAAACTGAAGGGAATATGGTACTATAGGGTGCTTTCATTATGATTTTTAACATTTCTTTTGTTTAACATGCAAAGACTAAGGTTTCGTTTGGGACGGCTTTCTTACTGCTTCTTAAAGTAGTTTTCTAGTAAAAATTAAAATTTTTATACTAAGAAGCTATTTTAAGAAGCAGTAAGAACGCCATCCCAAACGAAGCTAAGAGTCTGTTTGGGCCTAACTTTCTCATTATTTTGTATTTTTAGATTGCAATCAGTTTTTATTTTGTAGTGAGAAGCTACTTTTTACGATCAAATTTATTAATGTGTGATAATTATAAGAAAGCTATTGTCCAACTTTTTTAAAATATAAATATAAATATAAATAAATAAATAAATATATATATATATATATTGCGCTTGCAATGACTTTCAAAAAAGTTGTTTTTCCTACAACAACTTTTCAATTATCTTTAAAAAAAATCTGCAGCTGCCCAAAAGTTTTCCATTTAATTGACACATGTAATTGTGTTTTGGGGCCTATAAATGTTATTTGTTGTTTAAAAATATATATTTAGCTGAATTTTGTTGCTATGCAATGAGATCTGTCATTGGCTAAAAGATTAGTTAGTCTGGGAAATTTTATTGGTATGATGGGACTAATAAATTAATCAGGCAGTTAAACTCAAGTAATCATGATGGAACAATAAAATGATAAATTTACATGTTTTGTTAACAAGTATAACCATAATGTGTGTCGCATGTTGTTTGCTATTTCACCATCTAATTACAGAGATTTACTTGTGAATTGTTTCTTGTTGCATTAGTAAATTTATGCTCAATTTGGCAATGCACACTGATTTCCTTATCTTAAGAAAATATCACATCAAACTCCTCTTACACGATTTTTATGATTTGTTTCTCAGCTGATCCATTTGTATTTTATCAAACACATTTCCAGAACTATATTGGCATGTACTAGTAGATGGGAATTCCACAAGAAATGCAGCTCATGGATGATACTAGAACAACAACAACAACAACATCAAGCCTTTGTCCCACTACGTGGGGTCGGCTACATGAATCCTTTTTCGTCATTGTGTCATGTTAAAAGTAAAATTCTCATTTAAATCTAATAAAGAAAGATCATTTCTAATATTTTCTAACCAAGTCTTTTTAGGTCTACCCCTACCTTTCTTAACATAAGTCAAATCTAAAACCTCAACTTTCCTAACCGGGTCATCGGAAGGCCTCCGTTTAATGTGACCAAACCATCTAAGACAACTCTCTAACTTATCTTCCACTAGAGCTACTTCAACATTTTCATGTATATGCTCATTTCGTATCCTATCTCTAAGGGTAAAGCCACTCATTCACCTAAGCATCCTCATCTTTGCAACACTTAACTTAGTATTATGCTTCTCTTTTAATGGCCAACATTCGGAACCATAAAGCATTGCAGGTCTCACCACCATCTTATAGAATTTTCCCCTAAGTTTGAGGGGGATTTTTCTATCGCACAACAAGCCTAATGCATTCCTCTACTTCAACCATCTAATTTGAATTTTGTTTCACCATCACTTTGAACAATAGATCCAAGATATCTAACACATGTACTCTTATTAATGACTTGATCATCCGAAGTCACAATCCCCTCACTAGGACTATTGCTACTAAAATTACACTCTATATATTCAGTTTTATATCTACTCAAGCGAAAGCCTTTAGACTCTAAGGTTGACCTCCATAATTCAAGTTTACCTTTAACTCCCTCTCTAGTCTTATCAAATATCAACAAGAAGAATTTCATCAGCAAAAAGCATATACCAAGGTCTAGTGAGAACATCCATGACTAAAGCAAAAAGATATGGGCTTAAGGCTGATCCTTGATGTAATCCAACCAAAATAGGAAAATACATGGTCAAACCACCTTGTGTTTGAACACAAGTAATAGTTCATGGATGATAATTTCTTTTAATTTCTGTAAATGAGAATATTTGAGCTTTAGTTTAATTTGGGTTCTTATTAGTCTTCAATCTGTATCCGGATATCTTATTCTCCACCTTACTTATTTAAGATTTAATTAACCGGAATTTATTGAATTTAGTTGAGCAAGTATATTCCAGTAATCGCTTGCATTGATTGTGAGATTTTAGTATGTTGTCCAGGAGTTTTTCTTATATTGATTAAAAACAAATCTATTATTGAATAGCCTTCCATCTAAATCATGCCACCATTGAAGTAGAATATATGTATTTCCTATATGGTTGTTAACCCATGTAGTCATGATAGGACATTTATTGACTTGATTATATCCTTGGACATGCAGTTTTTAAATGATAGAGATTATTTACCAGTTGCTTCTTGTTTCAGACTACCCTTTTTACCATACAACCCTTGACACATATGAGTGGATGGAAAAACATGGAGATCCATCATTTCTTCGTCATGTGGCAAGTAAGTCTGTTTTCCTGCTATGTTGGATCTGCTCAATCTGGTTTTTTTTCTTGTTTTTTAATCAAAACTAGTTTTTTTCTTGCTAAATTAAATTGCTTTAACATGTATGATTTCGGACCTCCCTTCGATAGACTGTCCTTATCAAGGCAGAATAGAATGAAGAGCTGTTGCAAGATGCGAAACTAACTCTGAAGATATGGAATGCAAATCTTGATGGAAGTAGTTACAATGATGGAGATAATTAAATATGGATTGGAATTTTTGATGTTTTTCTATGTTCTGATTTAAACTAACGATCTGTGATACACTAAATGAAGAATCAACTAGATGCAGAACAATTGAAAATATGCTTTAAATAACATTTTAACATCAAGGAAGTTGGAGATTTTCCATAATGACAGAACCCCAGAGTTAATTTTGTCGGAGCTTGGTGGTGTAGGAGATTTCTGTGGTAGAAAAGGATGCAATATAAAGAAAAGTGTGTTTGAGTGAGTGGTGAGTTCAGCCATGAGCAAACATGAAACATTGTGAGTAGATCAACATGTGTAGGGATACATGTCATCTATGATGCACCAACATTTCTCCTCAAAAAGGCATGCAATGTCACATGTATTCGAATGACACGCATCCGACACGCCTCGACACGTGTCAGACATGCCGAAAATGTATCAAATTAAGAAAATATTAAATATAAATTGGACACGCATGTCTTAAATAACTTTTGATTTTTTTTAAATATAATTCCTTATATTTAAAATTTTATTTATTAAAATTATGTAATTAAATTTCTTACTCCTTATTTACAACACCAAATCAATTGCCCGCACTCAATACCCCATTCATCTAATATTCTCATTTTTATTTCTCTTTGGTGGGTTGTGAATTTGGTTTCACAACAATGTCTGATGTCATCTCAACATCGAAGTTTAACATCGTTATAACATCAACATTTCAAAACCATCTCAATATCAAAGTCTGACACTATCGTAACATTGATGCTCGATGCTAGCAATTTCTACACCCACAACTTGACAGCTCATTTTTGTCCGACGTCGTCTTAACATCTATGACCAATGCCCTCTCAACATCGACAACAGACGCTCTTTTGACATCGACGTCCGATACTTACTGCATAACATCAATGCTCGACTCTTGACAATATTATTGTTTCCACTCTTAATGTTTTATACATGTCATTGATATCTAACTCTCGACATCCTAATATTAATCATTTTAACTACTCGAAATTGTCCTGAATTGAACCCCATTGCAAAACATGTCAGATATATGGACCGGATTCGAGTCTATCCCGAGTTGACCCGACCCGAATCCCTAACCTTGAGGCCACCAAATACAAGCGGGCGAGCACAGGGGCTGCGAGGGCAGGGGTATAGCGGGTGAGGCAGAGGGCGAGCTAGTGAGGGGAGCGAGGTTCGCGAGCGGGTGAGAGCGGTGGGTGAGCGTAAGAGTGCAAGAGAGGTTGCGAGGGCTAACACTGGTGTGGGGGTAGGCACGGGGTGTGGGCGTGACCTGGTTAGACGAGTTGATTTTGGGTTTTTAGGTTGACCTGAACCCAACCCAAATTTTCAATTGGGTCAGAATTTTCAACCTAAACCCGACCCAACCCACTTCCAAAACAGGTTGTCCCAAACTTAAAATTCTCAGGTTGGGTTCGGCTCGGGTTTTCGAGTCGGGTCAAATGTTGATACCCCTATATGGGACGGTGGGGCCATATGATTAAACCTTGCTTGGTACTTATTTGTTAAATAATTATCATAAAAAAGTAATGTTTATTTTAAAATTAAAATAATTTAAACTTAAATTAAATAATTAAGTTAAATATTTTATATTAAAATTATTAAATAAATTTATTTAATTATATAAGTGATTATAAAAATAATCATCCAGGTTTTGAAAACTGGCAATAGTTTGTCGGTTAACCAAGCAAATTAGGGCTGTGAATATATCGAGCCGAGATGAGCAGAAGCTTGTTCATGTTTGAGCTTGTTTGAGCTCAATTTGAGTTTTTGCATTTTTGTTCAAGCTTGATTTTTTTTTTAAATGATAGATGTTCATGTTCAGTTTGTTTCTTGCTTATCGGGTTTAAATGAGTGTCTCGTTTAAATTAGTGAATAAGCCTTATCGAGATGTTCATTAGCTTAACGAACAAACCTTATTAGGACAACTAATGAACATTTATATTGAGCCTATTAAAGAACATATCTATTAAGCTTTTTCAAGTCCATAAATGTGCAAGCTTATTGAGCTTTCTCCAAGTCATAAATGAGTAGTTGTTAAGCTCATAAATGTTATTTTTAATGAATGAGATTTTTAATGAACACTTGTGGACCTCTGAAAGGACACTACACTGCAGAGTGTAGAGGGGTATGCGATCGCACCACCCCGAGGGATAGAGACGATCGCGGGCCTCCGCACTCCTCGCAAACTGGCCAATGAGAGGGCAGATTAGATCGCACATACGACTAACCATTGAGGATAGCGGCTCTCGTCAGCGCACCCCGATGGGTAGTAATATATACGATATGATCAAAACACTTGGTTTCCCTCACCCGATACATCAGCTCAAAGTGGGGTTTATTAGATGGTGGAATTCAGTTTCCCACGGGCGCAAGCCCCTGTGGTTAATTACATCTTGAGCCGAAGCCTAAGAAAACTCTCGATTAAGGATCCTACATTATCCTTTCAAATGAGATTGACACATAGGGCTAATACTAGGAAGTCCTATTCAAATGGGAAGAAAGGTTCAATTGGTTTAGTCAACATACACGGCTCATACTAACATCCGGAGGGATTAAGGTAGTGAGAAGAAACTGGAGAAAAGAAAGTCAAGCACTCCCAGCATGCATGAGAGAAAGATGGAGGTGGCGTCATCCTGTGATGCAGATAAGTAGGATTTATAGTCCCTGAAGAGAAGGGACTTACCCACTATTTAGGCATACTACGAGACCGAATCTAGTAGTCTTGAATCCTAAATCTAAATTGAGTTTAGTATTCTACGCACAACATTAACACCAGTGTCCTAACTAATGCAGTGCAAAACCTGAACTTACCCTGGCCTGGATTGGGGAAGGTGAGAAAGGACTAGGGGAGCTCACACATAAATTTTCTCGGCTAGAGAACGACTAGGGTGAGAGCAATTGCAAAAGTTCTTCACAAACCCTAAATTTCTCCTAAATTGGAAGGCGGGGGGGGGGGGGGGGGGGGGGGGGGCTTTGTTCAATGACCAGGATTTAATCCAGAGCTTAATAGGAGGGAAAAAGGATGAGATTTGAACGAGGTTTTGAATTAGAGACCATTAATGGGGCTTTAAATGCATTGAATGGGCTCTTAATGAGTTTAAATAGGTCAATTTGACCTATTTAAGACTTGGGTTGACCTGGTCAACCCAGTCAAATATGTCTAAGGGATGTGGGTTTGAGCCTAATGAGGGTTTGAATTGAATTCAAGCTCAAATGGGTCAAACTGGGTTGACTTGGTCAACCAGGTTGACCTAGGGCACAAGTTTGGGCCCAGTAGATTGGGTTTGACCCACTGAGTTCAAGGGTGAAGGGGAATGGGCTTGAGAAGACCTGAAATTGATTTTGGACAAATAGAAGGGGTTTGGGTCAATTTGGGTCAACCTTGGTTGATCTGGTCAACCAGATTGACCCAGGCACAAGCTTGGGCCCAATGGGTTGGGTCTGATCCATGGGGTCCAGTGGAGGTGAGAACTGAACAAAAGAGAGGTCAACAAACACTAAAATCAAATAGCCTATCAAACATGAGCATGTATATTTTGATTATGAATAAACTCAATCAATAATGAGACTTATCAATTTTATATCAAACATTAATTGAGTTTTCTCACGAGTTCTGTATAGAATAAGAATCGAGTTTCTCAACAAACTTCTTATCGAGTTTCATATCGAGCATGTTCATGAGCTTCAAATGATGTTGTTCGTGAATATAAACGAGTCAAATACATATTTGTTCAAGTTTGTTTATTTAATGATCCAATATTTAAAAGATGTTCAAGCTTATTTGATTACTTAATCAAACGATCATGAACGAGCTATAATCGAGCCGAGCCACAAGTAGCTTGTCGAACGCTTAGTTCATTTGCAGCCCTAGGTCAAACTGCTGGTTCGATATGGTTTAGGCTGGTTCATTGCACCAATTTTGAGAATTTTTTTAACCGGTCGGCAAACCCGGTCTTGGTTCAACTGGCTGGTCCGGTTTGGTTTTTAAAAGCTTGGTTGCAAGAGAAAGGAGGGTCAAAGTAGGGGTTTTGCGAGCAGAGAGTATTGTAGTTTGGGGTGCAAATCGAAGAAGTGGGTCCTGTGGCAACCTTATGCGAAAATAGAGATGAAACGGGATAAGGCACGGAGTTATATGATTTATTTATTTCTATTGTCATTATTTAATTGATATTATTTGTTTTTTTATAGGTTAGAGATATCATAAGAGCAACTGTGTAGGGATGAGGTAGAGATAAGGGCATGGGATAAGGGATTCAATTTTTTTTTTTAATAAATAAATAAATAAATGTATATACACACACATTACACATACATATAATTCTTTTATTTATATTTAATTAAAATAATATAAAAAGATCAAAGAGATGTGTATGGACTCTCATATAGTTTTTGTACCACATGCAACTCTATTTATTTGTCACCTCGTGCGCAAATTAACTTGTGTTTCAACTAGTGCAAAAAGCTCAGTAATATGGGTGCCATCTTTTAATAATTTATGTATTTCAGACATGTTGGTGTAATTTTTTTTTGCGAATGAACAATGTTTATGGGGCTTCATGCAACAATGTGTTTGCACTTCGTCATTTTCAGCTACATTTGCTCGATTCTAATAGGGGGTCATTGCTAATTTCAACGTTTCAAACTATTCACATGATTTTGCACAACGATATGTTTATAGGCTAACATTTTCTTTGTTTTTCAACTAAGTCAAGCATAGAGGGTGTTTCTTTGATAATTTTGGTGCTCCAAACGTCTCAACACAATCTGTCTCTTGAACGGGATAAGTAATTTCAATTGCGATCATGATGCTTCAAACACATTTTGCATGACGTTGCGTTAGTTAATCGATGTTCTCGTCATTCATGCTTGAATCAATTGTGAGGCTATAATATAGATCAACAACAAGTGCTATGCTATTTTGATATGTTTTGGAGATCAAATCAGCACCCAAAACAGCCACTAGAGCTATATCAACACCAAATAGTAAAAAATAGCCACCAAAATTAAAAGAAAACAACAATGTTATGTCGGACAGTCGGAACAACACTAATAAAGCTGAAATAACAATCTTCAATCAAAGAAATACCATATACAATTGATTCACTATTTGAGAGGTGAATAGGCTCTCCCCCAATTTCCTAGCAACAACTAGGAACCCAAAATCACCTAAGAAAAACTACTGCATAAAATTCTTCACATAATCACTCCCACATACAAACTCCCCCCTTTAAAATCAGTGTTAATCCCACCATAAATGCACCTCACATTTCTTCCAATGATCTCCCATTAAACTTTTCCCACCATAAATGCACCCTACATTTCCTCAAATGATCTCCCGTCAAACTTTTTTCTTCTTATAGGTCTGAAATGAGGTGCTGCGACCCACAGAACAAGAGTCTTTTGGCCCTTGAATGAGGTGGAGTCCACAACCATATCATAGTCGCTCTCGCTCACGCTCATAGCTCACCCACCTCCTTTCTGCCACAACATTTTGTGTCATCTCTTATACGTGCAATTGTTTGCATGTGTTCTACCTTGATAGAACTGCCCCATCTCCACATCTCACACAAATTGCCCGCCTTGCATCTTTTAAGCCAACGCATCTTTCTTATGGAGCCCGCTAATCCCACATATTTTCCCCACTCAGTCTATGCTTATCCAATAACCATTTTTGTGTTATTCTCACCAATGGAAATCATTTGCCACTTGTTTATGTGATCCACTATCATCCATTGTCATCGCCCACCAGCACATCCGCCATGGTCTACTTAGGGGTGTAAATGAGCCAAGCTTGAGTGAGCTTATCGTGTATTCATGTTCGACTCATTCAAATTTCTTTGCGTTCACATTTGGCTTGTTTTTAAGATTATTCTTGAACATCATATTCTATTGGACTAATTAGAATTTGAGTTGAGCACAATATAATCATTCTACTTATTAATAACCAATTAATAAATCTTAAAAATAGAAAATTAATTATGAGCCAAAGACAATCGAATAAGGCTTCGTTTGCGTTCAGCTCATTAAGAAAACAAGCTCAAAATAGTTCAATATCAACTTGCTCACTTAATGAATTAATCAAACACAACATTCTTATTGAGCTGCACATTAGCTATCACGAACAATGAGTTTTTTTTATAGCTCTAATCTACTACCCCAAGGAAACTTGATGTTATTATGAAAATAATATTGCATGGAGGGGATTGAACCTTTAACTTATAAAACATTACAATACTTGGAGGCAAGGGTAAGCCCATGATGGGTTTTGGACTGCTTAGTTAAATGCGCTTGGTGGATCATTTGATACCCATACCTATGACTCCCCTAGCATATAAATCCTTAATAAGAATATATCTTAAAGAAAATTACTACTATATAAAAAAGAGACCTTTGAAAAAGATGAAAATTATGGATCAAAAAAATTTTATACGAAGTGGGAGGAGCACTAATCTGAGACTGCAGGCGTCACCAGAACATCAATAGTTGTAGTTCTATGATATGGCTCTCTTATATTAAAATAGCCTAACATTCATTGTTTGTTGGATGTGGCCTATCTTACTATAAAAACATCAATCCACTTTGTGGGACGGTTTCATATGACACACTTAACTATAATAGCCCAGGCATGTATATCATGAAGAAGAAGTCTCTTCAAGAAAATTATGATACAGAAAAGAGTTTCTAAAAGGATTACAATTACAAATTTAAAAAAGAAAAAAGGTTTTAGTAGCTAGGAGGACCACCTATTAGAGTTTTTGAACCTTATAAAATAATCAATAAATAAGGTAATATGAAATAGTTCTCTCAAATGGAGCCAATCTAACGTTCAAAGCATAATAGATGTTGGTTTTATATGAAATGCATGTACTAGATATTCTCAACACCGGTAACTTTACAAATGTGTGCTCCTTCAGAAAATTAACCTATTTGGCATGTCTTGTTGTGGATAAGTTACTATTGTGAGGCTAGTGATCAAAATACAGAACAAAGTTCAATGGTGCAATGCATATGCCATGGTGCAATGCATATGCCATGGCATAATATGTTTTAGTGATTAAATTTCTTTTTCTTGGCTTCATTTGGTTTCTTAATCAAGTAAAATAATGAATGAACCTCATTCCTCAATATAGCTTATGGACCACAATGATGTCATTTCAACTCACCTAAAATATTATTAAGCATATAAGTAGGGGAGCATGAGTTAGACACTTGATAGGAAATATTTGAATATTTCAAGTAAACCCTAACAAGATTGATGAAAATAATGAGAAAATTTCACGAATCTAATGGAAAAAACAACATAACAATAGTTTTTATGGTGGAAATCAAACAACATAAACAAATAAGCAAGATACAATTGATCCTCAATTCGAGAGGTGGATTGTTCTCTCCCCGATCCCTAGATGAATCTAGGGCCCAAGACACCGAGACAAGAACTCTAGAAATCAGCCACCAAAACAAAGCATAACCCTAACCCTAATTCCTCCATCATACTTAAAGCATAAAATTAATCATTAAAGCCAAAAGACAGATTAGCCCTTGCCGCTCCCTCTTTTGGCTCCAAACATTTGAATTTGAATCTCTAGTGGACCCCGCTACCTTCTCTCTCTCTTGCCGCTGCCCCTCCTTTTGTAGACCTAAGCCGGCCCATTAAAAGGGGCCGGTTGGAGTGGGCCGGTTCAGCCTGAACCGGCCTAACAACACTCTTCTTTGTTTGGAAAACTCTCGTAGTAGCTTTAGTCCATTGAAAAAAGAAAAGCATTCTATATTAGGCACTACAAAATAATTAAGCTTCACACCTGAACAAACAGATTACTTATCCTGTAAGGACTCCATGTCTCACACCTGTCAAGGATCAAAATTCTAAAATAGATGAAAAAGAAGTCTCCTAAGAATTATAATAATTTAGATAAATGAATTAATAAATTACTAATAAATTGTTTATAAACTCTTTGTCATTGAAATTTAGACAATACAAAATAACTCTAATATTTATGACAAAATAAAAATTTAATTTATGTTTAAATCTTTAGAAGTATGAAAATTAGCTGAAATCATTCAATGAAGGTTGAAGGAATTGAATTACAAAGCGATCATGCATCTCTTTAACGAGCTAACATTATAGTTTTGGTATCAATTTGATTCAGGAATCCGATAAAAGAACTCAGAAAAAGACGATGAAGATGATAGATTATATGAGATGGATAACACTAATGAGAAAAAGATTAAGAAACAATAACATGATACGCTACCCTCATACTCAAAGAAGGAGATTGTCTCTTCCGAAACTGTTTATGATTGCACACATAATCATTCATCACTATTCTTGGATGAACGAAGGGTCTTTGCAACATCGCAAGAATTTTATTTATAACGTAAAGTGCCTTGCATGCTTCAAAGTATTTTTATTTATCACAACCATTTTTTTTCTATTGGAACTACGCAATACTAAGGGCATCATCAACTGAAAATCCCATTTTTCACTCCAAAATACAGTGAAACTAAAAAATGGCGTGATGCATCTCCAATCGAACTCTATTTTGCGCCCTTCACTGAAGGTAACCGTCTTTCTCCTCTTTCACGCATTTCTTCCGCAAATTCGGTAGAGACAGAAAAATAACGCAGGTGAACTGTGCAACGCCAATATTGGCGTCGCATTGTTCACCCGCAACCAAATACCGAAAGTTTTGCCGTTCGGCTGGAGCTCGCGAGCAAGGCCATTCATGCGTTTGGAGTTCTGTTGAAGAAGGCCTAAGATCAATGAATCACCATGATCTCATCATGAAATGACTCATCTATGCATTGTTGGAGTTCTCTTATAGAATTTTCTTTATTGGATGTCTTCGTTATGGTATAAAAATCCAAAAATTAGTTGAACTATTTTGATTTGGACATTTTAATGTACAACTTTCCACTGACGAAGTTTTATGTGTTCAATGCCATTTTCGAGATCAGGATGAAGTGGGTGTTCCATACCTTTATTTTATTCTTTTTATATTATGGACATCTCTTTAATTTCTAAAGAATGGTTGCAAAATATTGTTTCAGCTTCTGAAATTTGGGGACTTTTGGGCCTTCGCCTTGCAGATGATCGCATCTTGCCTTTTGATTACAACTCCTATGCCAGTCAATTACTGGTATGGAGGCTTCTTGACATATTTCAACAGGCCTACTGTTTCAAGGATTTGCTGCATAAATTAGTTTGCTTTCTGGGTGACAGGAACATACAAATGCTCTCACAGCTTTGCTTGATGGTTTGAAGATAAAGCCCATATTTGCATCCATACGGCAGTTTACTGCTGCAGCCAAAGCAGTTCAGGATGAAGCAAAGGTTAGATGTCCATATGAATTATAATTATTATTTTTTCTTAGTTTCATCTTTTCAGAATTTTTTTTTAGAATTCATTTACCAGGACTAAAGAAAAAATAGGTTCTTTGTAGTCCTTGTACCGAAAAGATTGTCAATTTTGCATTTAGGATGAGTAATATTTATGCGAAAGACTCCAATACTACTATAACAATAACATCAAGTCTTTATCCCACTATATGGGGTCGGCTACATGATTCCTTTTTCTCGATTGTGCTTTGTTAAAAGTTAAATTCTTATTTAAATCTAATAAAGAAATGTCATTTCTAATATTGTCTAACCAAGTCTTTTTAGGTCTACCTCTACCCTTCTTGACATAAGTCAAATCTAATACATCTAATTTCTTAACCGGGTCATCGGGAGACTGCCGTTTTATGTGATCAAATCATCTAAGGCGACTCCCTCTAATCTTATCTTTCACTGGAGCTACTCTAATCTTAATGTCATGATTATTCGACAAGTTTTACGCTGGCTATCGAAGCCAATACTAAGTTTTTTTTTTTTTTTTTTGAGACTTGGCATAGGACAATATGATACACTTGGCTACATTCACCATTAACTCAATCCTAATTTCCTTCATTGTAATATTTTTTAAGGCCAATAACCTGCAGATGTCACTTGGTTTACTGGATTAACCTGCAGATGTTTGAAGTGCAAGGCGTAGCAGATGTTGCTTCATGTCTAAGACGGCGGGCTTTTAATGACAAGCTAATACTTGCAGAGAGATCCTTCTTGGACGCAGAGGGCCTCAGAGGTCGGCCATGGTTTAAACATTTGGTAAGCATTACATAAATAACTTCATATTATTTTAATCCATAGACTCTGCTCTCCCTTATTTATCTTCCTTCTTTGTTGAACCATTGAAATACTCTTCTGCTTCAACAATATTTTTTGCTTTTGGATATTATAACATTTCTCTTAACTAAATTTGGCAGCCAAGTATTATGTAGTTATATTTCACATTTGAACTTCTCATTCAAGCACCTCTTTAGCGGAAAATTATTCTGTGTGGACACCGAATGCTGTCCAGAGACCAATAAAAATGCACCATGTCACCCTTTTACTATTCCATAGCTTGGTTTTGTTCGGTACCGCAGCATCCGGACGTAGAGCTGTGTCCGGCGTCCGCACAAAATAAATTTTCCTCTTTAGCTGTGTATGCATTCCCCCATACAATTACTTCATTATTAGTGTTGATTCTGTTCATTTGTCACCTGGCAGCTGTATTCTCCTCCCAAGGATTCTGCTAGTAAGCTTTCTTTCTTTCCTGGCATAGCTGATGCAATCTATGATGCTAAGAACTCAATTAAGGGCGAGGAATCGAATATAGATCATGAGATTTGGCGAGTTGCTCGAGCCATTCGACGAGCTGCAGATGTTCTTCGAGGCGAACTCACTTGACTTTTTTTTTGGAAATTAACTCACTTGGCTAGAATCAGAAGAGTAATTCACTGTCAATATCTGAGAATAGGAACAGCAGTTTCATGGTTGGGCTGAAATATGCGCAGAATTGATTGTATATATATATATATATATATATATATATATATATATATA